ATTCTGGATTTCTGTCTGTAGATTTTGTCTGATCTCTAATTTTTCATTTATTTTGTCATTTTCTTATATTTTCTTCTGAAATTTTTCTAGGGTTTTGTGTTTTCCTTCATTTGTCAGTGTTTTCTTTGATCTGTCTCTGAATCCATTGAAGGTATCTAACTATAATTCTTTTGAATTCCTTGTCAGGATGTTCCAATGCTGCTTCTTCCTCAGGGATATGCTCTGTGTCTGTATTATGGTCCCTTGTTTCTCCTGCTCTGTCTTGCTTCTTTATGTGGACTGTGATGGTCTGTTTGTCTCCAAGACATTGTGACTTTGTCATATATTTATTTAATTGGCGATTGTATGTTGGAGTGATTGACCTAAGATTTTTTCTTCTTTTTTATGTATCTGAGTATGCAGGGTACTGTACTCCTCTTTTCGCTAGTTGGTATCCCTTATGCACTTACCACCTGTCTTCTGGTGGGTGTGATAGAGAATAAGAGTTGGTGCACAGATCTCTGTAAGTGTTTATGTAGAGCAGTTAAGGGTGAGTCAGGCTGTTATTGGTGGCTGTGTGTCATTGGCCAGTTAATGCAGAAGGAAATGTTGACTCTCAGTAAGTGGAGCTGCAGGAGGTGCTTGTGTGGCTCAGTTGTATGGGCACTGTTGCATTCTCCCACTCAGTTAGATGAAAGGAACAATAGACAAACCATCAAAGAAGTAAAACCAAGAGGACAAAAAACACAGACTGCATAAGCACATGGGAACAATCACCAAAAAGAGAAAAAAAGAACAAAAGAGGAAATGCAATAAAGGAGAGAAAATATTTAAAGAAATACTTTAAAAAGCCAAAAGAAATGGGAATAGAAAAAAAGGGAGAGAAACAAGCAAACCACAGTGTATACTGAGTGGGGAAATAAGAGAAAAGAGGTAGAGTAAGAGAATAATGAAGAGAAAAATGGGAAAAATGCAAAAAGAAAAACAAAGAATGGGGAGAACCATAAGAAAGAAAGAATGGTAACCAGGAAAAGGGAAGAGACAAAAAGCCCAAAGCTAGAACCTGAGGAGGTAAGAAGAACAAAAAGAAAAATAATAATAAAAAAAGGTAACAAGAATAACAAAAAATCCCCCCATATTCTTAAAACAAACCAAAAACAAAAAGTAGAAGGAAAAAAATAAATCTTGGTGGAGCAGGGCACCCAGGCTTCATCATAGCACACAGACCGGGGTGGAATTCCTGTTGGCTCAGAAGGTGGGTGGAAGTGAGTCTTGGCCACACCTCTGTTCACCAAAGAGGGTGTGGAATATCAGAGTAACAAGGGGCATATTGCACCTTTCCAGTCCTCTGTGTCTGGTATATCCTTGCGGTCCCCAGGAATTGTAGCCTATTCTTAGGTCCCTGGAATCTGAGTGAATGCTGTAGCTTTAAATATCCAAAATGGTTGAACCGCTTGGTAACATGCAAAATGGCTGTGCCCTCTGGACAGCCAGAAGTCCACAGCTCACCCCTTCTCCCTTCCCTCCTTCCCCTTTTATTCACCAGCCCCCAGTGCGGTCCTCTGTGCTATCAGGGCCTATTTTTAGGTTAATTCTCAGGTCCCTGGCTATCAGGGCCTACTTTTAGGTTAATTCTCAGGTCCCAACACCACTTGGTTGGGAGCTCAGGTGGCGTAGTGCCTAAAGCATTTGACTGCTAACTATAAGGCTGGCAGTTCAAACCCACCACCTACTCCTCAAAAGGAAGATTGGACAATCTACTTCCATAGAGATATTGCCTCGGAACCCCAAGGAAGGGTTGCTGTGAGTTGGATCTGACTCATTGGCAGTGAGTTTTCTTTTTCTTTTTTTTTTTTCCTCCCCTAAAACCAGTTGGCAACATCCAAGTTGTCTATGCTGTCAGGATCTCTGACAGTCTGCAGCTCTGTATGTCTCCTTTTTCGGTGTTTCCTGCAGATTCTTCTCCTAGTTGGAGTTTAGTTGACTTCTGTATCCATCCTTCCTTTCAAAGCTCAGTGCTCTAGGATTATCTTCCGTATCTGTGTTACTTGGTTCCTCTTTTCTTTGTTAAAGAGGGTCTGTGTAATTTGTCTGCCTATTTTGCCATCTTATCAGAACTCAACATAGAGGTTTTGATGGCTGATTTTTCAGAAGTAGAATCTCCAGGCCATTTGAGGTGCTTCTTCGTGGACTTGAACCTCCACCTTTTGGTTTAGAGCCAAGGACTTAACTGTTCGTACCACCCATGGACTCTATTTTTAGGTTAGATAATATCTATTGCTCTGTCTTCAAGTTGAAACTCCCTGGATGGTGCTTGACTATTGACTTGAAAATTTACAGTTTGAACCCACCCAGCAGTGCTGTAGAGGGAGTTTTGGTGGTCAGTTCCCCTTGAAGAGCACAGCCAAGAAGTCTTTAGAGCAGTTCTACTCTGTTACACGTGGGGTTACTATGAGTTGGAATTGACTCAACAGCAACAGATTTATCTTCAAGTTTACTGTCTCCTTTTTCATCCTTCTGCTATTAAACTTATGTAGGGAGTTTTCAATTTCAGTTCTAAAATGATAACTTCCTCGGAAACCCAAGGAGAGGATGCTGTGAATTGGATCTGACTTGCCAGCAGTGCGTTTGGTTTTTGGTTTTACATATATATGTAAGACTTTGTCTTTTTAAATTCAATTCAGGAGTGTTTGCTTGTTAGAGATTTTTATAGTAGCTTTTTAAAATAGTCTTTGATAATTGCAGAATGTGTTGTTTTGCTGCATTGGAGTCTGTTGATTGTCTTTTCTCTTAGGAGTTGAGGTATTCCTGGTTCTTTGTGTGCTGAGTAAATTGGATTGCATCTGGACGTTTTGAATATTATGTTATGAGACTGTGGGCCATATTCAGATCCAAGGAGAATGTTGGTTTCATTGTTTTAACAGGGAAAACATCCTGGTTAGATCTAGGCTAAAAGTTCTGACCTGCTTTGTGTGGGTGGCAGTTTCACTATCAATTCTGTTTTGTAATGTGCACTGCTCTCTTCCCACTGGCCAGTCCTCAGCCTGCAGTGCTTTTTAGTCTTAGGGGCCTAGAAGTCCACAGACAAATGAGTTTGCTGCTCCCAATTTCTTCCTCTTCCTGCACTGTCCCTGGGGCTTCCTTTTTTCTTCTCCAGACAGCTCTGGCCGGGAAAAGCAGAGGGACTGGTGTTTCTTATGCTCCACGTCCTTCTGTTTTTCAGTTTCTGAGGCCCTTGGAGGCCATCTGGGTTTAGAGTTACGCTGAGCTGGATATGCTGGCTCCTTTTCCCCTGGTGCTGGAGCAGATAAGTACTGAGTTTCCTGTGGCTGCATGACAAATTACCACAAACTTGATGGCTTGAAAAAACAAATTTATTCTCACAGTTCTGGATGCCAGAAGTCTGAAATCAGGTTGTCAGGTTGTCAGCAGGGCTACCTCAGAAGACTTTGGGGGAAGATTCTTTCATGTCTCTTCCAGCTTCTGGTGCTGCTGTGATGCCTTGTGCTTCTTGGCTTGGGGCTGCATTGTTTCAGTTTCTTTCCTGTTGTCATGTGGTCTTCTCTTGTGTGCCTTCATTTGTGTGTTGCTCTTGATGACAGCACTATGCCCTGTTCTTTGTCTGTGCTAACAATACCTCCCTCATTTCACTTCCTTTGCTGCACTGTCTCTGGTGGTGCTTCCTGTGTGGTGCCTGGGCATTCTGGGTGAACCTGGCTTGTCCCTCTGGCTAAACTGTGGGCATCAGGAGCCAGAACCCTGTTCTTTCATTTCAGTCCCCAGTATATGATCCTGTTTCAAGAGACTGATTGGGAAACATCTATGTAGTGAAGGATTGTTGAGTCCTCTTTGGCTGGGCTGGCCTGTCCTGTCATGACACGTGACCCTTGGAGCAATATGGTGTTAGAGGAGATTCCTGGGTGTCTTATATATCTATCAAACCAACCAAACATTGCCATTGTGTTGGATCAAATTCATAGCAACCCCTCCTTGCTTTTCTGAAGTGGTATCTCTATGCAAGTAGATTGCCCAATCTTCTTTCTGAGGAGTTGGGGTGCTATAATAGAAACACCATAAGTGAATGAGTTTAACAAACAAAAATTTATTTTCTCATAGTTTAGGAGTGTAGAAGTCCAAATTCAGGGTGCTTGCTCTGGTGGAAGTCTTTCTCTGTCTGCTCTGTTCAAAGGTCCTTGTCTCCTTCCATTATCTGTGTGCTCAGAGTTCCTTGTAGAGATCCGTGTGTCTAGGCATCAGTCTTCCTTTGGATCTAGGAGGTTCTCAGTGCAGGGACCCTGGGTCCAAAGGGCTCCTTCCATTCCTGGCTTTGTTTCTTGTTGGTAGTCAGGTCTCCCCCCTCTCCCCACATCTTTTGTAAGATAAAAAGTGTGACTTAACCAAGGGTATGACATGAGTAAGGGTGGTGACTTGAGTAAGGATGTGACTTGGTTACTTGAATAAGGGGGAAACTTGAGTCACACCCTCTTGTAAGTCTGACTGGAGATACAACCCACCCTAATCCTGCTTTGCTAACATTTGGAGGTTAGGATTTACAACACAAATTACAAAATGGAGGATAATTACATTAGATCACAAAATGGAGGGCAACTATATGATACTGGGAATCATGGCCTAACCAAATTAGACGCTTATTTTTGGGAGACACTGTTCAGTCCATGACACTGGGCATGCTTCTCATTATGGCCACGGGGAACAGTGTTGTCTGAGGGAACAGTGGCAGGATGAAGTGATTGCATATGTAGCAGGTCATGTTCCCTGAACTGTGTCACCCTGGAGGCCAGGAGAGCACATTTCTACTCCAGAGTGAGGCAGGAGAGGCTGGGTGATGACTCCTAGGGCTGATGAGCCTTCTTGCCAAGATATCCCCAAATGACCTATAGACAAGGGTAGCAGGAAATGAGGTCCCAGGACATGTGACCTGAGAACCCTAGACTTGGGAAGATGGGTGCCTGCCATTCCTTATGGGAAACATGGGTTTGCGTCTGTATTCCAGTGTCAGGATGGCAGCCCAGGTGACACTGGAGGATGCACTGTCCAACGTGGATCTCCTTGAGGAGCTGCCCCTGCCTGACCAGCAGCCCTGCATTGAGCCACCACCCTCCTCACTACTCTATCAGGTATGCCTTCCTCCCTATTCCTCCCCAGCCTGTGGAGCATGGGGCAGCAACTCCAATGTCTACCTGCCTTTTCTTTTGCTTGTAGCCAAATTTCAACACTAACTTTGAAGACAGAAATGCATTTGTCACTGGCATTGCAAGATACATCGAGCAGGCCACCGTCCATTCTAGCATGGTAATTCTATCTGCACATCTATGTTTGTGGAGGGTGGTATGGTTGATGACAAAGGAGAATTCTTTAGTATTATTCTGGTATGATATATAGTGAGAAAAAAGAGAAGAAAATTTAAACCTTTATGTTTTTAAAGAAACCTTTTGCTTTATTATAAAAACAGTACATGCTCTTCTTTTCATAAAAAAATAGGATCTCTGGCCCAGAGAAACTTTGTCACCATCCTGAGTGAACCTCTTTCCTATTAGCTTTCCTTCTCTCTCCTTCTTTGTAAATCTAGACTTACACACTGGATATATACCATATGTAATTTAGATTTTTTAAATGAATTATATTATTATGATGATACATTTTAGTGATTTTAGGAACATTTTTACATCACTGAAATGTGCTAGAAAAAGCAATTTTTAATGGCTGTATAATCCATTTTGTAAATGTCTACAATTTATTGTTTTGTGTTTGTTTATTTAGTTTCCCTTTTTTTCTTATGAAAAAAAAATTAATGGTGAACAGCTTTCTAAATACTTCGTTTTTCTGTTTGGCTAGAGTTATAGAAGAGAAATTGTAGTGTCAGAGGTTGTGAGTATTTGAAAGGCCATTTTAGCCTTTAAGGAAGGCCATTTTAAAGCACCTTGAAAGCATTAAGAATTTGCAGTCTACATTTTAACAAGAGTCCATAATTTTTACAAAAGGAAAATCATGAAAGAAAGACTAGAACACTAAAGTAGGTTTTAAAAGTTAAGGAATTCCTCTTCCTGTGCACACTCTATAAGTTCTGCAGAAATACTTCTAGCTTTTTTTTGCTCACTAAGGATACCAGGGCAGGCAGCCTCTGAGTCTTTGCTGCAACCTCAGGCAGCTTGTGTGGCTTGGCACAGAGACCTTGAGAGCTCTGTGGGAATTGCAGCTATACTCAGGCCACAGCTACCAGCAGTTTGTCTAGGTGAATTGCAGCTGAGAGCAAAGGAGTGTGGTGGCCCCAGCAAGGGATGCCAGTGTACCCTTGAGCACCCACTGCCCTGCCCTCAGTGCTACTAGCTTCCTCTGGGCAGCATGCCATAGTTCTAGACTGTCCATCTCAAGGGGAGAGGTGGGAGAGTTAATGCCTTTTTCTCTAGATTTTAGCCATTTAGCATCTTTTTGTTGACTGTTCCCTGCTTCCCTTTGAGGCTTCCATCCATCTGCCGTTGACTTACCTTGTGTTCATTTCAGAATGAGATGCTGGAAGAGGGCCAGGAATATGCTGTCATGCTGTATACCTGGAGGAGCTGCTCCAGGGCCATCCCACAGGTGCCACCTACCCCCACCTCCACCCACTATCTCCAGCCTCTTCCCTATTCCTATCTCCACTATCTTTTGCTATTCTCATCTCTGTTCTTCCCTTAGCTCTACTCCCACTCCTCTCTTCCCATCTCCATTCATTCTCCACTTCTTTCTTCTCTCCCTGCCCCATCTCCACCTCCTTCTCCATGTCTACTGCTCACCTCCTCTCCTTCTCCTTCCCCCTTTTCACTCTCACTCCCTTCTCCCCAGCCCCCATCTTCACTTCTTTTTCCATCTTCTCCTTATCCTCCAAGCATTCCACCAGATCTAGCAGCCACCTAGCTGGATTGAAGCCTCTTTGACTCTTTATATCATACTTGTTTGCTTATTCCCAGGTGAAGTGCAATGAGCAGCCTAATCGAGTGGAGATTTATGAGAAGACTGTGGAGGTCCTTGAGCCAGAAGTCACAAAATTGATGAATTTTATGTATTTCCAGGTAAAAAATACAAAATAATCCAAAAGGTTTAGAGTTTCTGTCGTTGCCCTCACCACTACTGTCCTTTTCTTATAGCATGAGCTCATTGAACAGAGCACACAACAATCAGAGCAGCCACTCAGAGTCTGGGACAGAGGGGAGCATATAATCTTTCAGGACAGATGTGTGTCTTCTCAGTTGAGAGTGGCAACTAATTTCCCCCTGTGGGGTGTACTTTGTAACAGGACCAACTACAAAGTTTTATTTTTCTGTCAGCTTGTTCTTTGAATTCATCTGCTTTTTCATGTTTTTCTTCCTCTCAGCCTCACCCTGCGTTGGCCTTGTGCAAGTCCATTGTTTAGGCAAAGAGTGGCTATTGGAAGGGACTAGCTGCTTTTTTAAGAAGTACTTTGTAAATGTCTGATTTTCATTACAGATTCTTTTAGCAAAAGGAGAAGATGGAATCTAGGATATGCATTTTTATCTTAACTTAAAAGTTGTCAAGAGGGGAAAAACCTCTCTTTTTTTTCTGAGAGTTAAACCATCTATTTTATAGACATTATATTGTAAATATCTTTCCTAGAATAATAAAAATTCTTTTACTTTAGGGATGTGGAATAAGTAATTGTTGTTAGAGAGCAAATGGACCTGGAAACTGCTCTCAAGTGAGTCTGCTGACTTAGGCAGATGTGATTGGTCAGCACAGGTGGCAGCCTCCCTGAGGGGTGGTCAGTCTGGTTGCACTGGTGGTGACCTGGCACTGATGTTTGGTGCTCTGTCTTTCCCTCCTCTGCTAGAGAAATGCCATTGAACGCTTCTGTGGGGAGGTGCGGCGCTTATGCCATGTGGAGAGGAGGAAGGACTTTGTGTCTGAAGCCTACCTGCTCACTTTGGGCAAGTTCATCAACATGTTTGCTGTGCTGGATGAGCTAAAGAATATGAAGTGCAGCGTGAAGAATGATCACTCGGCGTATAAGAGGTGAGCTGCCTGCCTACATGCTGAACCCTGCATGCCAGGCCCTTGAGGTGTTTGAGAGCCAGAGGCAGTACTTTGCTGGTGGTATATGCCTGGTGAACATGGGATCGTTGCTGCTGGTTGGCAGTAGTTATTTTTCAAGTCTCAGGACGTGCCTCTATTTGTTAGGTACACTTGGGGTTATCAGTAAATTAAGTTTGCTGGAGCAAAATGTGACATGTTGTGGCAGTGTAAAAAAAAAAACTCACTGCTGTTGAGTTGATTCCAACTCAGCAACCCTATAGGACAGAATAGAACTGCTCATAGACTTTTCAAGGGTGTAAATCATTATGGAAGCAAAGTGCCTCATCTTTCTCCCACAGAGTGGCTGATGGGTTCCAACTGCTGACCTTTTGTCTAGCAGCTGAATGTTTTTACCAGTGCCCCACCAGAAAAACAAAGAAAACAAAACAATATACTGTGCCTTTATTAAGTTAGATCAAAGTCTGGACGTCTTTGTCACATACCTATGGAGGACTTTCTGGGTGCCCAACCTCTTGGGAAGATTAAAAAAAACGTACCAGCATAGTTCTTGCTACCTAGCAACCACAGAGTTCCTGCAAAGTTATTTGGCCAGAGCAGGGGCGGTGGTGCTGCAATCTGAGCATGGTCATGTAAGTGGTAGTCCCTGGAACAGACTCTTCTGCTAGGTCTGCTCCCCAGCTAGACCCACCCAGGCTGCCCTGGGTGCATGTGCACCACCACAACCTTGTCAATGGGACCCATTGGACTGCCCTAGGGCCTTTCTACAGTGTCCCTGGGCTACTTGTGCTCAAGTAATTCTAGAGAAGAGGCAAGTTGGAGGACTGGAGGGAAGTATATGTTCTAGAACACCACCTGTGTTCATTGTAGACTGGTGCATCCTCAGGCTGAGGGAAGCTCTTGGCTACAGAGCAGCTTATCCTCTCATCAGCTTCCTTTTGAATGTTTTTACGTGGGTCTTGGGAAGATGGCATCATACCTATCAAACAAACACGTTTGTTCCCTCTATCATCTTGTGATGTGAAGGTTTATCATTTTTCTTTGAGGTTACCCTATGATTTATAATTTTATCCCCGAGTTTAGAACAGTCCATTCTATCTTGCAACTCTCTTAACTTCCTCACCATTTAGAAGTTCTGTAACTACACAGTCTTTTCCCTCTTTTTGTTTGTAGTTGTCCTCACTTGCCAATTGATGTCTCTGGTTCCCTGTTTACAATCTTGTAAGCCCATTTTACTTTGGATGTATCCATAGCTGTGGTTTGTGGGTTATGTCATCTTGTGTATTAATGGTTGGTTGTTATTTGCTATTTTTGTTTTTCTGTTCAAAAGGCTCCTTTTACCACCTCTTGTAAGATTGGTCTGTTTTTAACAAATTCCCTTAGTTTCTGCTTATCTGGAAATCTCCTAATTTCACCATCATATTTGAGGAACAATTAAGCCGGTTATATAATTCTTGCTTGGAAATTTTTGTCTTTCAGGGTTTTATATATACCATCCCATTGCCTTCTCGCTTGCATGGTTTCTGCTGAGAAATCAGAGTTTATTCTTACTGGCTGTCCTTTGTAGGTAACTTTTTGTTTTTTCCGTGCTGCTCTGAGGATTCTGTCTTTGTCTTTGATTTTGATGAGTTTGATGATGATGTGTCTTGGTGATTTTCTTTTGGGGTCTATCCTGTTTGGGGTTCGTTGGACTTCCTGAATGGATATATTCATATTCATCATTTCAGGGAAGTTCTCCTCCAGCAAATCTTGGACAATTTTCTCAGTGGTTTTGTTTTTCTCTTCCTGTTCTGGAATTCCAATGACATGTAAGTTATTTCTTTTGATGGTATCCCACATGAAACTTAGGCTTTCTTCATTTTGTTTTGATTTTTTTTCTGATTGATCCCTTTCTAAAGAAGTATTCAGGTATTTTTCTTCCATGTAATTCTGTCTTCCATTGCATCAATTCTTCTCCTTTGCCCTTCCAATGTGTTATCTATTTCTGACAATTTAGTAATCTTCTGGATTTCTGTCTGTAGATTTAGAATCATTTCTAATTTTTCATTTATTTTGTCATTTTGTTCTTGTATTTTCTTCCAAAATTCTTCTAAGGTTTTTTTCTGTGTTTTCTTTGGTCTGTCTCTCAATTCTCTGAAGATACCTAAATATAATTCTTTTGAATTCTTTATCAGAGAGTTCCAATGCTGCTGCTTCCTCAGGGATGTGTTCTGGGTCTGTATCCTGCTCCCTTGTTTCTACCACTTTATCCTGCTTCTTTGTATGGACTGTGATGGTCTGTTGTCTCTGAGGCATCGTGGTGCTGTTGTATTTAGATCTCTGTTAACTGTTTGTGAAGAGCAGCCAAGGGTGATTCAGACTGTTCTTGGTGGTTTTTTATCATTGGCCCGTTGGTGGAGAAGGTGGTAGTGGCTCTCGCTCAGTAAGTGAAGTTGCAGGAGATTTGGGTGTGGTTGTGTTTTATGGGGCCTGTTGTTGTCTCCCACTCAGTTAGACACAAATTACAACTGAATAACCATCAAAAAACTTTTCAGTCATGCAGGTCTGGAGTGACCTTGGGGTTGCTGGAAAGCAGAACGTGTTCTTAAGTCCTAGGAATCTGCGAGCACGCTGTCTCTTTAAATATCCAAAATGTTCAAGCCACTTTTAAACCTTCAAAGTGGCAGTGTCCTCCGGACTGGCAAAAGTCCACAGCTTAGCCTGCCTTTCTCTTCACCTTCTCTGTTTATTTCCCAGCCACTGTGCACAGTTCTCCGTGCAGTCCCTGGCTAGCAGAGTGATTTTTAGGTTAATTCTTAGGTCCTACCACCACTCCGGAATCTCCAAGCTGTCTGTGCTGTCAATATCACTCAGGATCGCTGCCAGACCACAGCTCCATATGTCTCCCTTTTGGTATTTTCATGCAAATTCTTCTGCTATTTGGGGTCTAGTCGACTTTTGTCCTCCCCTTCAAGGCTCGGGGTCCAAGGTTATCTTCTGTGTCTGTGTTAATTGGTTTCCCTTTTCTTTGTTGAAGAGGGTCTGTGCAGTCTTTCTGCCTAGTCCGTTATCTTGCCAGAACTCTCCCTCTAGCATCTTAATGCCTGAATAACTAGGTACAGCAGTTTGAAACAGAGATTTTGGGGCTGTCTAAAGCTCATTAGGTTAGAGAAGGCCAGATTTAGTAGAGAAAGAGGGAAAAAAAAGGAAGCAGGATAAAAAGCTGGGAAAAAGAAAAATAAGCAGACCTGCCTGGTGGCGGGTGACTCAGTGAGATGGAGAAATGGAAAATTCTTTAAACAATACCAGAGAAAACCTCAAAGGAAATAAGAAAGGAGTGACATCGGGGAGCTAGTGGCGGCTTCGGGGACTCATACTACCCACAACAGCAGCTTCTGATGGTAGCCTTGGGAACTGAGCTGAGTGGATGGACAGCATTTCTGAGAAACAGAGCAGAAACACCTCTGGCTCATTTCATCCCTGAGTTGGGAGCAGAAAGTGAGAAGGCAGGAAACACGCCTCAGGAAGGCAGGCCCTGGGATGACCTTACAGTGCCAAGGCTGGGATCCAGCTCTTCCAGTACAGCTTTTTAGCACAGAGGGGTCCAGACTATGGGGTTTTTGTGCTATCTGACCCAAGTGGAAGTTAGTGACCGCCTGACCATTGAGGTCTTCGCTGATTTTGTACTGCGGGTCTGTGAGTGACAGTAAACTGTCATCATTGGAAGCTGACCCAAGCAGACTCAAAACAAAACCCTGGAACAGGCCATAACCATGGTAACATGGAAAGCAGGGAGTCACTATTGGCACGTCTTTTTTTCTTTTTCTTTTCTTCTTTTTTTTCCCCTTCTCCCCTGCCCCACCCAATAGAAGAACCACATTAAGCCACCACAACACCTGCTCATCCCAAGTCTAAATCTCCTTCACGATGAACAGAGATCTGTGTGCTCATTCACCACCATGATTCCATTAACACAAAGAAATTTGCAGGGCAACCCCAGCACACCTGAATTAATAAACAAATAAAGTACACCAGCTCCACCCTTCCAGAAATATTTAAACATAAAATCAAGGAGAAAAAAAATCAATACATGAGTACCAGTTAAAGACAGCCACTTCAAAATGTCTATGATACAGTAGGCAACCTCAAATCAAACAAAAAAACAGGATAAGACAATAGAAATAAAATCCCAGACAAAAACCTCATTAAACATGGAGAAAGACGAGGCAATAGAATTATCCCAGAAGGAATTTAGAGGATACGTTTCTAGAACTCTACAGGAGCTTAAGGAAACCTCAAACAAATCCAAGGAGAACACAGACAGTACCTTGGAAGAACTCAGGAAAACCGTTCAAGAAGAAAACAACAAGATTAATACGTAATCAGAACTCATATAAAAACAGCAGTTAGAAAGCCAGAAGATGAACACTAAAATTACAGAATTATGCAACACAGTGGAAGAAGACAACTGGTTAGAACTGGCTGAAGAATGCATTGCCCAACTAGAAGATAAATCCCTTGACACCAGCCTGTATGAAGAAAAATCAGAACAAAGATTTAGGAGAAATGAAGAGAACATAAGAGTTATATGGCATGACATGAAATGAGATGACACATGCCTCATTGGAATTCCAGACCAAGAAGAGGCCGGGGTAAAAAACAAAACAAAACAAAACACTGAGAAAATTGTGGAAAAGTTGATAACAGTAAATTTTCCCCATATCACGAAGGAAGAAAAGATACTTGTCTAAGCTCAACAAACGCCATACAGGATAGATCCCAAGAGAAAGTTACCAAGACATATCATGACCAGACTCTCCAAAACCAAAGACAAAGAAAGACTTTTGTGAGCAGCCCATGAAAAAAAAGAGAAATGTCACCTACAATGGACGAACAATTAGAATCAGTTCTGATTACTCAGCAAAAACCTTGCAGGCAAGAAGGCAATAGGACAGCATATATGAAACACTGAAGGAAAAGAACTTCCAACCGAGAATTCTATA